CTACTAAGTCTCTTCCTTGGGTCTTTTTCTCCCAATTAATTTGCACATGTGCTTTTTACGAAGACTGTTTTTCTCTCTCACCAATCCTTCATTCAGCAAATGCTTATTTATGCTTTTGATCTCAGCTCCATGTATCACCACATCTGGGAAATACACTGTTTGTCCTCCAGCTTGCTGTTAGTATCCTTTAGTATATGTTCTTATAAAATCTCCTCTTCCTTAATCTTGGCATGTGACTTAATTAGACGTGTTTAATTAATTAAGCTCCATGTGACTACTAGGCCGTAAGCTCCACTGAAAGCATATCCGTTCTGAATCCCCATCCCTGTCCCTGGACAGAATATGGTAGAGAGTCAATGAATCGCTGTTGAGGAAAAGAGTAAAAAGTAGCCGATTGCCCTCTTTCCTCACTACTTCCCCCAGTGACGTGGTGAAGACTTTACCGGGCAATGTGATGACAACTCAGACACGTCACATGCAGAAGTAGGTGGACCCCACAGCCGACACCGACCCCACTGACAGATAAACTCCGATGCTGCCGGCCGGGAGAGGCCTTTATTTTTCTTAATACGCTTTTTCTCCATATTTATTCCTGAAACTCATCACCAGAGTAAAGACTCTGTGCGATACATTTTAGCAGTGTAAAGTTCCCACTAAGCAATTGACTTTTGGGCCCTTATGATGTTTTTTCTCCTTCAAAGGACCTTCCTTCGGCCCTATTCCAGTTTCTGGTTTTCATTTTCCAACCTTTTGTTTGAGACACTTGTCTATTCTACCCAAAGAGTGCTTTTAGAACAAGCCAGTGCCTTGCTTTGATCTCCAGATTAAAACCTCCACAGGTCCCTTATCTGTAATCACGAAGAGTCGGTTAATTGAAGGTGAAAGGGATTCCTTGATTACTATTTTATGTTAAACTTCAACATATCTCACATCCCATAGAAATAAGGAGAGAATTTTGATACATTTATTCTCAGAAAACATATCTGAGGCTCATATTGAAAGATGAGGAAATATTTTCTCAAATTATTTGAAGTTACTCAATTTCCAAGAAGAAACTGTTTGGACATAAAAATCCAGATGTAGAGATTGGAGGCACTGATGAGCCAAAGTGGTATTAATTCATTTACTCAACAAATAGTCATGAGCATCTGTTAGGTACGGTTCTAGGTCCTGGGGTTATAGCGGCAAACAAAAAAACAAACAAAAAATGTTCTCCTCTTGTGGAGCTAACATTTTGATAGGGAATAAAGTTTCTAAACAAATAAACATATAACATGTCAGATTGAATGGTCAGGAGAAAAGGTTACCTTCTGAGTTACTCAGACCACTCCCATGAGAATGTTCATTTTTCTTTACAGGAGTTTCTGTGTACACAAGTGGAAACGGGGACTGACCGGGTCTGGGTTTTGCCCTTACACACAGAATAGCAAAGTTGCTTTCTCCTTCCAGACATCTGCACCAGGGCCTATTCGGTTTCTCCTTTGGTGCGACACTTACTGAAATGATAACAGCCTCACTTTATCCTCTTGTTGAAAAGAGGTAAAGTGCCTCAGAAGGATCAGAAATAAGGTTGTAGAAGAAAAGGACAGTAACAACTAGGCAGATTTGACTGGACAAATAAGAACCATTAGGCCTTCAAGTAAGAGGATATCCAGTGTGAAGAATGCAAATTAATATCCTTCACTCAGAACAAAAGAATCATGGACTGATGTTAAAGCACAAGGATTTTAACACACAATGAATTATGCCAGCAGAGGGATTCTTAGACAATGGACTGACCTATGTCACCAGGAGAGAAGTTGGTGGGGTCTCCTCTGTCCATCTTTGAGAACAAATCAAAGCACCGACCTGTCTACAAACTTAATAATCCTTCCTTGCAGACAGATGGTCTGAGGCTTTATGCAATTATATGATTGTTCCCCCATCTACTTTCTTAGATTCATAATCATATTTAAAATTTCTTTCTCACCGTTGACATATCCGACTTCACTTACGTCTCCTGTAACCTTGATTCCTCCATTCGCGCTATAAGCCAATGCTGTGAACCACGTCATCACAGTCACTCAGAGAGGCGGAGAAGGTCTTCTGCCTCCCGTGTTAGCCAGGACCACTAAAGACCACTTGCCCTGAAGTCTTTGCCAACACAAATCCATCTCGTGCCAAGTTTCCTTCTTCAGAAAATGACTAAGTGTGGCTCAAGCGTAGTTAATAAAATTGCAGCTGAGATGAGACTGTGAGTCATCTGTCATACCCTGGTCTCTCTTTTACTAATCAGTTGAGAGAAACATTTTAAAATCAGAGAGCAGCAGCAAAGAAATATGAGATACTCAGACTTCTTGAGGCAATTAGAGACTAAAGAGCAGAAGGCAAATCAGTCTTCCCGCTTTGACAGTCTTAAAATACACACTGAAAGTAGACTCTGGAGTTACACTATTTGTGACAGATTTTGACCATAACACGTTTGCTAAGAGGAAATAAAAATTACTCACTTCGGGACGTGCATTCCACCCTCGCATCAGCAGAGAGGAGATGGGCTTGGGGATAGAGTAGCCGATGGGAGGTCTGATGTGGTGGTAAGCCATGTCTGCAGCTGCGGCCGCTGCAGAGCAAACCGTCAGGACAGGCATGAAATTCACACGTTCATTTCAAGAAACATAGAACAGACCAAAAAAGTCATCAAGAATTAATCTTTGCAACATCAACAGGGATCCCGAGACTTTAAGGCTGTTGTTTCATTCCAATGCTTTAAGCAAAATAGGGACTAATTTAATACTATAAGTTTATCTTTTTAATTGTGCATTCATTTGGTTTTTAACACAATAATTACCAGAGGGAATTTATAAAGGAGTGTTTATGGAGCAGGCCGTTTTGTCTGTCTGAAGTATAAAGCATGTACATAATGTCATAAAGGGGAAAGCCCTATTGGACCAGACTCTACCACGTCCTGTATTTCAGGCTAAAAAGCTTATATTGTGCATAACAGGACATGGGGTACCATGAAGCTTGCGCATCTGAAAGCACCTATATCACTTGCCCCAAATAGATTTTTTAAAAGCTTAAATCCAATTACTGGTTATAAGGATGTTGGGATTTAAATTGTTAATATTTATAAATTAGTTATTACCTGTTAGTCTCGGACATTTCAAATCCATTATTTTAGCTAATATTACTCATTGATCAGATTCCCTAGTGTTGGCTGCCTACACAGAATTCTGAATACTGCCCCTCTCAAATTCCACATCACTGTGTTGGGATTCTTGGGACTTCGTTATTCTTGATAGCTAAATATTTTTCTATTCTGCAACCAGTGATTTCTATAAACCCTTTAGAAGCCAAGCGCTTGGCTGTTTCTATTAAACACATTTTGTAGTAGGTATCATGTACCTATGTAAGTTCTTTCTGTCCTTGTAACAGCCACACAAAGTAGGTATTGTTGTGTGTGTGGGTACGCGTGTGTGAGTAGTTTCTAATTTATAAACATTTTATGTGTAACTAGTAGCATGTGCAATCTTTTGTTCTGAAGTCCATGCTGCCTTCAGTACATATTGTAATGAAAATATTCTGTAAACAACACATGGTGCTCTGTTTATTTCTCAGAAAAATTGCTCTGTACCGGTGGGAGGATAAAGTTCCAGGTCATTGCTGCCTTCCATCTTCTAGCTTGCGAGGTTGTAAGCATCTGTCTGTATCTTAATGACTTCTGAAATATAACCCACAACCACTCTTCCCCTCTACGAAAATTCACTCCCATTAAATTCTGTTTATCCATCTATTTCCAGTAGATCTACTGAAATTATATATGTATGCAATGTAATTTAACTAACATTTTGCTTCATAAATTATTCTGAATGACTAATTTTGCCAATTGTAGAATTAACACATTCTTTGTAAAAGTTTTGAAAATTAAAAATATTAGAAAGCATAAGATGTTATAATTTAGGGAAAAACATATTTGTTAACATATTTTGCATATTTCTGATATAGTCTTTATATCATCGAGCTTATGTCAATATGTAATTATGTAATTCTTCTTTTTTAAAATTAAAACCTTAATTTAAGTAAGTAATTAAGCATTTCCCCATGTTATTAAAACTCTGTTAACATATTTTTAATGACTGTGCATTTAGCATAATTTACTTAATCATTTCCCAATTTTTAAGTTGTTCCAAATTTGGGTGTAAACACTTCAAAGATTATCGTTTTCAGCACAAGTTCCCTAATTCATAGATTATTTATTAATTTTTGATATTTAGAGAGAGGAAAGATATATGTGAAAGAGCACAAATACTTTAAAGACTTTGATACCTACCGGTAAACAATTTCCCTGACAGGAGCACTAATTTATAGTCTCAACAGCTACTGTGTGAAAGGTTATCATTAAATCTGAAAATTAGAATTTCTTATTTTATAAAAGATTTTGCTAATTTGGGAGGTCAATATAGTCACCCCTTTGTTGTTGTTTAGATTGTATTCTTGTCAAATGAGTCACTACTTATCAAATGTGTCTTTTGCGTCACTAAATGGCATTTTGGATTACTCTCATGGGTTACTCTTGGCTATTTTCAATTCTTTTGACAATGAGGTGAATTAAAAAGAAAAAAAAGCTGATTCCTAAAAAAAAAAAAACCTGGTAATCGATGTACTTTGTTACCCTATGATCATGTGGCTATTGTTGAGCTGGTACAGCTGTAAATCAGGATCGTGGACACATTGAGAATAATCACACACTTTCTAGTGGTGGGAGGAGAGACCGTATAACAAGTTGAAGGTGCCAGTCATCTCCTTGTGAAACTTAGTGAGATTCCTGTATCAGGTGTATATTGTTACTTATTTGCTTCTTGGCACTGTGTCAAGAAAATCAGCTTAAGATAAGTGATATTTAATTTTTCATTATTCAAAGTAGATTCTGCAAAGACTTGGCGTCTCCTTCTCCCCTTGCTTCACGCACTCTGGGCAGTGACGCGGCTCCTTAGCGCCTCCACCCCAAAGTGGGCAGGGCCACGTGCGGGGTTATGAAATTGACATTCATCACCTTTTAGATTGTTTCATCAATCTTGTCCCAACAACCATGCTACACCAACAATTGGGAGACTTTCTGGTTTGACAGATTCAGGAAAGCAATTGTCAGCACATTAACAAAATTTTTACCTGGATTGCTACAAAAATAAGTTAAAGGATTATATAAATATTGTTTCCTATTTTCACAAAAGACGTGAAAATTTGCCATTAAAGGAAAATAAGGCTAAGTCCCCAAATATAAGGAGATATTTAATAAGCAGCTATTATTTTTTCAACACTACTCTGAGATAATTATCAATCATTAGTAAACATATAATCTAAATTCTAGAATAGGACTAGCTGAACTTTCCGCCATGATAAAAATCTGTACCATTCAATATGGTGTGTACCATGAGATAAGTGAGCGCTTAAAGTATGGCTAGTGTGATAGAGAAGTTAAGTTTTCAATTTGTTTAACTTCAATTAATATAAATATAAATGTAAATACCCACAGTTAGTGATTATTATACCAGACAGCACAATTCTAGAGCATAGCTCTCAGGCTGAGTGTGCTGACTCCTGCCTATAATCTCAGCACAGCACTTGGGAGGCC